ATTCTGCTCTTGTAGTGTTAGAGCAGCCATAGATAATATGTAAAAGAATGAGTGTGGCTGTGTTCCCATAAAACTATTTACAAAAATATTTGAGTCTAGACTATGTTTTACTCATCCAAAGAGTCTACACTGCCAAACAAGGTATCTGGAAAAGAAGCCCCTGGATTAGTCTAAGATCTTTGTGTTGACAGGTGGTTCATCTCATACCAGCAATGAGTGAGAGTGATTTCTTCTCCATGGACTCAACAGTGTGTGTTGTCAAACATTTAGACTTTTGCTAATCTGACAAGCAAGAAAAGATAATGTATATACTTATAACTTGCATTTCTCTTATGAATGAGATTGAACTTCTTTTTATATTAAATGTATTTGGATTCCTTTATCTAAGAATCATTCATACTGTTTATTTTTTATTGGGCTATTGGTCTCTCATTGATTTAGAGGAGCATTTTATATATATTTAGTGGGAGATTAGCCCTTTTGGCATAAGTTGTAAGTATTGTTCTCCACTGCTATGTATCTCTTTGTTTATTATTTTACATCATGCAAAATTATTTTACACCATGAAGAATTTTTGGATATGTGTGTATTGAATGTGTGAATCTTTTATGCCTTCTGGATTTTGTTTTTTCTTTTTTTTTGTTTTTTTGTTTTTTTTTTGATTTTGAATTGTAGTAAGAAATGACTCCCCCATTTCAAGGTTATAAAAGATTTTTCCCATGTTTTCATCCAAATCTCTTATAGTTTCATGTTTTACATTTAAAATCTCTGTTCCTTTTGGAGTTTATCTTGGCTTAAGGGGTAAGCTATAGACACAATTTTTTTTCTCTCCAGATGGCTACCTGCCATTTATTAAAAAGTCTACTTTTCATCTCCTAATTTGAAATAACATCATCATTTAAAATAATGCCTTTATAGTAAATGTCCACCTGTATTTGGGTTTATTTCTGAATTTTCTATTCTATTCAGTTGTTTTAATTTATGAAATTTTACTGCATATTTTAAATATCTAATAGGGATAAGATCTCTTACTATTCTTCCTTTTCAGAGTTTTCCTGATTATTTTTGTGTTTTGGATTTTCCATATGAACTTTAGAATGAGCTTTTATCTAGACCCTCCAAACTAAATCTTGTAGGTACTTCTTATGGGATCACATTACATATATAGTAGGGACATAGCTACCTTGGTATGTCCATTTATTCATATTTATTATTTATTTATTTATTTGAGCAGAGTCTTGCTCTGTCACCCAGGCTAGAGTGCAGTGGCAAGATTGATTCATAGCTTTTTGCAGCCTCGAACTCTTGGGCTTAAGCAATCCTTTTGCCTCAGCCTCCTGAATAGCTGAGACTACAAGTGCATGCCACCATGTTACGCTAATTTGTAATTTTTTGTACAGAGGGGGTCTCACTATTTTGCCCAGCCTGGTCTCAACCTCCTGGCCTCAAGCAATCCTCCTGCCTCAGCCTCCAAAAGTGCTGGGATTACAGGTATGAGTCACCATGCCAAGCTATGTCTTTTTTTTTTTTTTTTTTGAGACAGTTCTCGCTTGTTGCCAGGCTAGAGTGAGTGCCATGGCGTCAGCCTAGCTCACAGCAACTTCAAACTCCTGGGTCAAGCAATCCTCCTGCCTCAGCCTCCCAAGTAGCTGGACTACAGGCATTCCCACCATGCCAGCTAATTTTTTTTTATATATAGTTGGCCAATTAATTTCTTTCTATTTATAGTAGAGACGGGGTCTCGCTCTTGCTCAGGCTGGTTTCGAACTCCTGACCTCGAGCAATCCACCCGCCTCGGCCTCCCAGAGAGCTAGGATTACAGGCGTGAGCCACCACGCCTGGCCCCAAGCTATGTTTTAAAGCTTTTCCTCATGCAGGTGTTGTACATTTCTTGCTGAAGTTTATTACTAGATTTTTTTATCTTTTTAGTTCCTCATAGGCTCTTCCCTTCCACCTTATGTTCTAACTGGTAGTTGTTTGTGCCTTCATCTTATTCCACTTCAACAATCTACTTACATTGCTACACATTTATACTCTGAACCTTACTTGCTCTGCAGAAGAAATCTCTAACTCAGTGTTACACTCTCATGCTCTTATTCACATTCCACCTGCTTTCTGACCTCATCTAGACCTCCATTTCTTTGAGTCTTCTAGTTTTAAGTCCTATTAAAGGACATTATTTTACTTCAGGCATTATTTTACTTCCTGTCACTTTCTGGACTATGTCAAATCACTTGAATTAACTAATTCTCACAGTTTCATACAATTTTCTTCCAGTAGTCCTGTTAATCCAACAGACTCTCAATCTAGGTCCTACAAACCCTTTCCAGTGCTCAATATAACAAGAGAAATAGCATACTCATGCAAATTAGAAATCACAAATGTATAGGGCAAAATCTCATTGGGGCTTTCAAAGCTGTTCAGCGATACCTTTACTCATCTTTGGTCAGTTTCCATTGACCTTAGTAATAAGCTATACCAAATGCTTTACAAGTCCACTACTTGCCTTCTTCATTCCATTACACTCAATAGAGGACTTTACCTCCTAATTTGCCAGGAAAACATAAGTCACCACATGTGAACTCCCCCAAATCTTCCATCAACAAACTTATTACATATAACCACTCTAATATCATTCCATCTAATCCTACTCCCAACTCTTCAGAATCTGCTCTTTATCTTGTATCTATTCTTTACTTACTTTCTCTACTGACTCCTTCCCTTCAGCATTATAAACAAGCTAAACTCGTTCCTGCTTAGAATAATCCTCTTTTCAGACTCTTTTATTCTAGCTAATACCTTTATTGTCTCCCCTTCTCACTCTAGCTCCTTATTAGAGTATTATATACTTACTACCTCTACCTTTTACAAAATCTCTCCCTGTTGTTCAATCAACAATGTACAAACTGACTGTTCTAATTATCCCCCTGCCACTTTTCTCATTAATTTAATTACCAACCTCTTTGTTGCTAAATCTCCCAGATATTTTCCAGGTCTCAGCTTAGAAGTGGTTTTAGATAAATAGGCATCAGCGAATGTCAATAACAAGGAAATATGCAGTACCCTAGAGGGCATGCCAGAATTAGGTCACAGAGCTAGATCATTCTCTCAGTCCCTTGACAAACAGAAATGTTTTACCACATCTTCTAAGGGGAAATCACTGATTGTGTCTCATGGGATATTACGAAGAGATGCAAGTAGTCTCTTTAGAGAAGAGCATTATTCCTGACAAGGGATGTGAAAAAAAATCACTTGTTCAAGCTGATCTGTGACCCAAGAGCCTTGGGCATCTGGATATAGCTGCATAATAAAATCTGGAAGTTTTCCTAAGTTAGCCATTATTCTTTTCTAGTTGGGGGGTCTATGGGTGGGGACATAATAGGAGACAGTGTGGATCTTACAAAAGGCAGCATATATACCTGTGGGAAAGAATAGCTCTGCCCTCTGCTGTAGGTGCTTATCCTTGCAATTCACCTGAAAAGGCAGTTTTGCAATTTTTTTCCTTTAGTTTCCTACTATCCAGGTTCAGGGATGTGGAGGTTATAGAAATATGTTCCACTGTTTTCAGGGAAGGGGCCAGGGATACTTGACAAAATGTTTTAATTACTAGCTTCTACTCATGGAATGTGAGCACAGGTCAAAATTCTGGTTCAGTGATACTGAAAGGTCTCAGTGCAGCTGAAATAGGTTTTCTACCTAAATAATTTTCTACCTAAAATAATCTAGAGCACTAAAAGCAAAAAAGATGGTCAAATCAACATCGACCTGAAAAAGCTGAAGTTTGAATGCTAGAAAGCCAAATCCAAATGATGGAACCAGGTGCCAGAGCAAAGAATCAGAGTGAGAACTGCATAGAGATGGGACAGGTTAACCTGGCTTAATGGACCAGAGTGGAAAATACCTAACTCAGTATCTGGCATACAGTTAGGACCAATTACTTGCTAAAATAATCAGGCAGAAGATTATAAGTGGTATGCCACCAGTAGGAAGTTAACATGGTGGTGGTTGTTTTTTTGTCAAGAAATTCTCTTTTTATTTTAATAAAAATAAATATTTTTATTCCCTTAAATAAAGATATTTAAAGGAATGTTTTAAAGAAGAGAGCATAAAGCCAACAGATCCAGGTTTTGAAATAGTTACTTAAAATAACAGCATGATATCAACAAACAAAAATATAATCTAAAATCTGGGAAGGGAATATGGGTAAAATACTGGGGCTAGAAATGTAGAAATAGGAAAAATGACACAGATGGGCTACTTAAAAGAATTGTACTACAGAGTAGAACATCAAGTCCATAGGAATACATGCCTTCAGGAGAATATGGAGGAAGAAACTGTAGAAGGTGAAGATATTGAGAGGCTAGAAGAGACAAAAACAGTGTGCATCACAAGCCAGGTGGAAGAAATCTTCAAGAAGGTAAAATCAACACAATAAACTGGCTTTGTAGCCATCAGATTTGACTGGAAGTAACTTAGTGACAATCTCCAAGAAAACAAGATTTTAGTGGCACAAGTGGGATGGGGTCATATCACAAAGGTGACCAAGAGAATTAGAAATTAGAGTGTGGGTTATAGATAAGTTCTAAAAGTTTGATAAAAGGAAAAAGAAAAAAATGAAAAGTAGGTAAAAATGGCAGAGGATTTTTGACATGGAAAAGAAAGATTTCTGAGAGGATGTATGAATAAAAAAATAAAAAGAAAATGTTACATGAAGATCAGCAACATTGAGGTATTTACAGGTGCTCAAACTAATGCTTTCAAAATAACCTTTCTTTTGTGTAAATTTTTTTCATTATAAGTATATATTATCAGTTCAATCAAAAAAAAATAAGACAGCCATTTCCATTTTGGCAAACAATCAAATAGGAACTGAATTTTTTCAAAGGCCTCAGTATTCTTGAAATCCCAGAGGGAGATTTTTGGAGCATACTCCATTGATTATTTCAGAAGTGACTCTTTTCCTTCATGAAGAACCAAATGCCCAAATGCTTGCTTCTTACCTGGATGGGTGTCCAGTGGGCTGTCTCTTTCTATCATCCACTGCTCTTCTTGCTCCAATTGAGCAATTACCTCTGGTTTATAAAGTTGGTGCCCTATTCATGGAAAAAATATATGCCTTAGGAATTTATAGTGGGAACAAAAATTTCTCTCAGAACCCATTTCCAACCAGTCTTCCAGGCCTCTGGATTTGGAAAGGGGAGGGGGCAGCAAAATAAAGGTACCTATCTCAAACTCAACAATGTCAAGACCTTCTACCTGAGGAGAAACAGCAGGAAACAAAGGTCTCTGTCTCCAAAACTGGTAAGCTTTCTTCTGTGCTGGCCTAAACTGTAGCCACAAAAGCTTTGGGCATCTTTACTACTTAAAGAAATAAACCTATGCAAATGGTTTCCAGTTTCACAGGACACCATTCTACCTAGTGCAACTAGATTCCTGTAGTTCTCCAGCATCACATCTCGGTACAGGTTCTTCTGAGCAGGGTACAGTTGTTCCCACTCCTCTCTGGTGAAGTCCACAGCCACATCCTGGAATGTCAGTGATTCCTGAAACATCAAGGACATCCAGCTCAGCCAGAAACTATTCTTACAGGAGCCTTCAGGGGAAGGGGATAAAAGTGCAGCACCAGACAAAGGTTAGGATGTCTAAGCCTTTGTGCTGAGAATCTTTAGGACTTTGAGTAATCCTGGCCAAATTTTTGAAACAACAATTAGTACTGGTCTATCATCTTTTAAGACATGTTAAAACATGCAGGAAATAATCCTTGCATTTAAGCATCTTACAATTTGTTGCAAGGGAAAAAAGACTCTCATTTCATCTAAACAATTAAAAAAAACTACAGGCATGCCTCAGAGATATCACAGGTTCAGTTCCAGACCACTGCAATAATATTGCAATAAAGTGAGTCACATGAATTTTCTGGTTTCCCAGTGCTCATACAAGTTATGTTTACTCTATACTGTAGTCTAATAAGTGTGTAATAACATTATATCTAAAAAGTACATATTAATTAAAAACTAATATATCCTAAAAAAGCTAATGATCATTTGAGGCATCAGAATTAGTCAAACCTCTCAAATCCTGCTGCTGTTTTATCAACTACATTTATGTAATATTTTAAATATTTTGTTGTCATTTCAACAATGTTCACAGAACTACACAAGGAGTAGATTCCATGTGAAGAAAACACATACTTTGCTCATTTATAAGAAGCAACTCCTTATCCATTTAATTTTGATCAAGAGATGGCAGCAGTTCAGTCACATTTTCATGCCTGACTTCTCATTCTAGTTCTCTTGCTATTTCCACTACATCTGCAGTTCCTTTTACCAACAAAGACTTGCACCTCTCAAATTTATCCATAAGGGTTGGACGCTTCTTCCAAACTCCTGTAAATGTTGATATTCTGACCTCCTCTCCTGAATCATGAATGTCCTAGAATGGTGAATCCTTTCCAGAAAGTTTTCAACTGACTATGCCCAGATACATTAGAAGAATCACTATTTATGACAGCTATAGCCTTATATAATGCATTTACTTTTTTTCATATAAATTTGAGTAGTACAACTATAGTTTTATTAACGTGAATATATTGCATAGTGGTGAAGTCTGGGCATTTAGTGTACCCATCACCCAAACAGTGCACATTTTAGCCATTAATTATTTCTTATACATCAACCCCTAAAATCTCCTACCCTTCCAAGTCTCCAGTGACTATTATTCCACACTCTATGTCCACATGTACACATAATTTAACTCCCATGTGTGAGAATGTGAGGCATTTGACTTTCTGTTTTTTAACTGCTTCACTTAAGATAATGGCCACTAGTTGTATCTATGTTTCTGCAATAGACATGATTTCATTCTTTTTTATGGCTAAATAGCACTATTTTCTCTCTCTCTCTCTCTCTCTCTCTCTCTCTCTCTCTCTCACACACACACACACACACACATGCACACAAACATACCATAACACATTTTCTTTATCCACTCATCTATTGATGACACTTAGGTTGATTCAGTATCTATGTGATTGTCATTAGTGCTGCTATAACATAAAAATGAGGATATCTTTTTGATTTGATTTCTTTTCCTTTAGGTATATACCCAGTAGTGGGGCTGCTGGATCAAATGGTAGTTCTATTTTAAATTCTTTGCCAAATTGCCACACAGTTTTCCATAGAGGTTGTAGTAATAGTAATTTACATTCCCATGAACAGTATATAAGCATTCCCTTTTATCTGCATTCTCACCCACATCTGTTATTATTTTGTCTTTATAATTTTTTTTTGAGACAGAGTCTTGCTCTATCACCCTGGGCAGAGTGCAGTGGCATCATTGTAGCTCATTGCAAGCTCAAATTCCTGGGCTCAAGTGATCGCCTTGTCTCAGCCTCTCGAGTATCTGGGACTACAGGTGTACACCACGATGCCTGGCTAATTTTTCTATTTTTAGTAGAGACTAATTTTTCTATTTTTAGTAGAGATGGGTTCTCACTCTTACTCAGGCTGGTCTCGAACTCCTGAGCTCAAGCAATCCTTTAGCCTTGGCCTCCCAGAGTGCTAAGATTATATGCATGAGCCACCACACCTGGCCCTTATCTTTTTAATAATGGCCATTCTGACTGGTATAAGATGATATCTCATTGTGGTTTTAATTTGCAGCTGTCTATAAACATTGATGTTGAGCATTTTTAATATGCTTTTTAGCCATTTGGTGTCCTCTTTTTAAAAATGTCTATTTTTAAAAATAGATATGGCTGGATGTGATGGTTCATACCTGTAATCTAGTACTTTGGGAGGCCAAGGTGGGAACACTACTTGAGGCCAGGAGTTCAAGACCAGTCTGAGCAACATAATGAGACCACATCTCTAAAAAAAAAAATTAGCTGGGTGTGGTGGCACACACCTGTAGTCCTACCTACTTGGGAGCCTGAGGGGTAAGGATCATTTGAGCTCAGGAGTTCAAGGCTGCAGTGAGCTCTGATCATGCCATTGTACTCCAGACTAGGTGACAGAGTAAGACCCCTTCTCTTAAATAAAAGTAAGTAAAAAATAAAAAAGAGAGATTAGGTAAAGATGGCCGAGTAGAGACATCAGTTGCCATATCATCCTGGAGGGAAGGAGGTGTTTCAGATGAAGGGGAGGTGGGAAAGGTACCAGAGTCAGTTGGAGATTCTCCAAGATTGATCATAACTTAGGTCATAAAACAGGTCTCAACAAATTCAAGAAAGTTGAATCATACCATGTATCTTCTCAGACCACAATGGAATAAAACTAGAAATCACAAGAAAACACCCAAACCTACACAAATAAATGGAAATTAAACAACCTGCTGCTGAACGATAACTGGATCAAGAATAAAATTAATATGGAAATCAAAATATTCCTTGAACTGAATTACAAAAGGGACACAAGCATCAAAATCTATAGGACTCAATAAAAGCATTTCTCAGGGCAAAATTCATAGCCTTAAATGCCTACATTCAAAAGACAGAAGGATCACAAATTAACAACCTAATGTCACATCTCAAGGAACTAGGGGAAAAAAAGGAGCAAACCAAACACAAAGCCAACAGAAGAAAACAAATGACAAAGGTCAGAGCAGAACTAAATGAAATGGAAAACAAAACTACAAATGATCAATAAAAGAAAAAGTTGGTTCTTTGAAAAGATGAACAAAATTGACAGAACTCTTGCTAGATAGATTAACTAGGAATAGGAGAGAAAGGACCCAAATAAGCTCAATCAGAAATAAAAAAGGAGATATTACAACAGATACCACAGATATAAAAACATCATCTGTGAATACTATGACAAATATCTATGCACACAAACTAGAAAATATACAGGAAATAGATAAATTCCTGCAAACACACAACCTCCAAAGACTCAATCAGGAAAAAATAAAACTCCAGAACAAATAAAACTCCTTAATGAGCAGTGAGATTGAAGCAATAATGAAGTCTTATACACACACACACACACACACATACACAAACACACACACAGCCCTGAATGAGATGGATTCACAGCCAAATTCTATAAAACATACAAAGAAGAACAAATACCCATACTACAGAAATTATTCTGTAACACTAAGAAGGAGAGAATCCTCCCCAACTCATTCCATGGAGCCAGTATCACCTTGATACCAAAGCCAAGAAAGGATATAACAAAAAAAAAGAAAACTATAGACCAATATTCCTTGTGAATATAGATGTAAAAGTCCTCAATAAAATACTAGCAAATCAAATTGAACAGCACAGAAAAAAAAATCAACAAAGTCTACTATGTCCAAGGAGGCTTCATCCTAGGGATGCAAGCATGGTTCAACATATATAAACCAATAAATGTGATTCACCACATAAACAGAAACAAGAAAGACCATATGATCATCTCAATGCCTACAGAAAAAGCATTTGACAAAATCCAGTACCCTTTTGTGATAAAACCCTCAACAAACTAGGCACAGAAGGAACATATCTCAAAATTATAAAAGCTGTATTTGACAAACCTATAGCCAACATCATACTGAATAATGGGGAAAAGTTGAAAGTATTCCCCCCTAAGAACTGGAACAAGACAAGAGTGTATACTGTCACTACTTCTATTAAACAGAATGTTAGAAGTTCTAGCTAGAGCAATCAAGCAAGAGAAATAAAGAGTATCCAAATTGGGAAAGAGGAGGTAAAACTATTGCTTTTCATTGACAATATGATATTTTATCTAGAAAACTCCAAATATTTCACTAAGAGACTCCTAGAATTGATAAATAAATTCATCAAAGTCTCAGGTTATAAAATCAACATACACAAATCAGTAGCATTTCTATATACCAATAACAATCAAGCTAAGAGTCAAAGACTCAATACCATTCACAATAGTTGCAAAGAAAATAAAATAACTAAGAATATACTTAACCCAGGAAATGAAAGATCTCTACAAAGAGTACTATAAAACATTGAGGAAAGAAATCATAGATGACAAAAACAAATGGAAAAATATATCATGCCTATGGATTGGAAGAAGCAACATTGTTAAAATGTCCATACTACCCAAAGTGATTTACAGATTCAATGCAATCCCAATCAAAATATCAATGTCCTATTTCACAGATTTAGAAAAAAATATTTCTGTGCTTTATTTGGAACTAGAAAAGAGCCCAAATAACCAAAGCAATCTTAAGCAAAAAGAATAAATCTGGAGGCACCACATTACCAGACTTCAAACTATACTACAAGGCTGTAGTAACCAAAACAGCATGGTATTTGTACAAAAATAGAGACACAGACCAATGGAACAGAATAGAGAACCCAGATATAAAACCAACTACCTACAGCCAACTGATCCCTGACAAAGCAGACAACAACATGCACTGGGGAAAAGAAGCCCTATTTAATAAATAGTGCCAGGAAAATTGGACAGCTACATGCAGAAGAATTAAACAGGATCCCTATCTCTTACCACTCACTAAAATTAATTCAAGATGAATAAAAGCCTTAAATAAAGGCATGAGACCATAAGAATTCTAGGAGAAAATGTAG